TTGTAGACACTGAAAGAAATGGACCCGACACTAACCATCAGGTCAGGGGGTGCTGCTGAGCGGGGGTGGTGGGGGGACAAGGGAGCAGGAGGGAGTCCGTGCAGCGGGGCATGGGGGGCAGGTGTCAGACCTGTTATGTCACACCATTCCTATCCTCTCCCACCAACTTTCTCTCTACAGAACCCCCAGAATAAGACCTCCCCATTCTCCGTGTCCCCAACTGGCCCCAGCACCAAGGTAAGCACCTGCTGAGACATTCAGGGAAGAGGGTGGCGTTTAGGAGGGGGGGGTCACTGTGTCTGGCCCAGAGCTCAGAGAGCACTGGGCCCTGGTACCTTGGAGGAAAGGTTCCTCCCGCCCCTTCTCACCCTCGGGCTCCCGCCCCAGGCCTGTGACTCACCCAGGCTCCTTCCCCTTCCCTGGGGGGTGGGGGTGGCCAGGGAAATCCCCCCCAGAGCCCCAGGGCGATGAACAACAGGAAGCTGAGGGCCCAGCCCCCATCCCGACTTCCCTGACCGAACAGGGGCCTGCACCACCCTCTGCCCACCCCACCTCCACTCAGGGGCCAGCTGGGGTTGGGGGTGGCACACCCAGGAGGGGGACTGTGGGGACGAAGGACGAGGAGGCTGGGTGCAGTCGGTGCCAGTCCCACATCCAGAGGAACCCCGCACTGCGCTCTGCTCGTCTGCCTGGGGGTGCCCCAGCCTGCTGGGGGGGACAGCAGGCCGGCCCAGAGATCTGAAGGCAGTGCCCAGGCTGGGAGCAGAGCGGGCTTTCAGGGCGAAGTGGAGGGGTGGGTGGGTGGCTGGGAACTGCTCTCCACCCGGCCACAGCCTTGCTCTGTGACCCTGGGGAAGTCACTTCCCTTCTCTGGGCTCCTCAGTTTCCTCTTCTCTGACATGGCTCGGGGAAAGGGCAGGCGGACAAGGCTGGCCTCTGAGGGCCTTCCACTCAGTATGCCCCTTTGCCATCGCGGGAGGACAGCATGCTCTGTGAGCCGAGACTGGGGCGGGCCTGGGGGGTAGGACTCTGGCCCTGGACCTCAGGCCTGGCTCTCACCTCACAGGTGCGCCGTTGCCCCCACACCCTCCCTTCGTTATCCATTCAGCCCTCCTTTAGGGGAAGCTGGGAGCAGAGGGAGTGGCAAGGGAACAAGGGTCTCTCCCTCCTGGGCTCCACGTCCTGTGTCTCTGGTCTCCTCTCCACCTGTTCCACCTGTTCTGCCTTTGCCCTACCAGCTGTGATTGAAGCTCTCCCGTCAGGTCTCCGATGTATCCACACCCCACTGTGTGCAATTATTTACATAATAATTGTGTTAATTGGCTCAGTTTCTGAAAACACTTTATTATGGAAAATGTGAAGCAGGTACAAAAATAGAGGGTGTAATGAAAATAAATCCCCCAGGTACCCATTAATCAGCTCCAACAATTACTAACACACACACTAGCTCAGCTTTTAACAGCTCGCATAAATGTTTTTTCAATGGAAATTTCATGAATGGAAAACCAGAATCACTTGCCATGGAAATAAATACAATGATTATTAAAATGTACCCAGAGTCTCTGTGCTGAAGCATCAGAACCCAAGGCCTGTTTTCTGTCTGTTCAAAGGGGAGATTAGCTGGCCTTGAATAGCTGTAGACTTCCTAACACCAGAGGCAGCCTTTCTTAAAGTGACCAGAAGCAGTGAAAAAGCAATTTGATGTCTCATTTATATATTTAGGTTTTTTCTCTAGGGCCCATAAACTTGCTGGAGAGAGATAGAGAGACAGAGAGGGAAGAGAGAGGGAAACAGAAATTATCCCCGGTGAGGGTGGCCATGCTGCAATCCCTTCTCCTCCATTCTTCTCTTGGGGTTTGGGGCATGCACACACATGCACTTGGCCTGATTTTCAAGCCACTGGATCCAGGACTCAAATTGTGGTTGGCCATGTGGGAATCCAGCTGTTCAGCCACCATGCCACCTGCGGGCCTGGTCATTTTAAAAGAGCTTTATATTGGGGCTGGCAGGTGAAATGGTCATTAAGGCACTGGACTTCCACATGGCTGACTGCGGTTCGAGTCCCAGACCTGGCAGCTTACTTTCTCATTTTCCTTCTCTCTCTCTGGTCAAATTCAATAATAATAAATAAATGAATAAATAAATAAATAAATAAAATTGGGGCCGACAGATGGCTTGGTGGTTAAGGGCTCTGGACTCTCACATGGCTGACCACAATTCAAGTCCTGGACCTGGTGGCTTGCTTTTTCACTTTCTCTCTCTCTCGCTCGCTCTTTCTCTATCTCTCTCTGGTCAAATTAAAATAAATAAATAAATACAGTTAAACACAATACTTCTTTTAAAAAAAGAAAAATAAATAAATTAAATAATTTTGAAAAACCTTTATATTAAAATATGATAAACATAAAAATATACACAGATCCTCTGTGTATGATTCTGAGCTTTCTTTCCTTTTTCTCTTTCTGAGAAAAATACAGAGAGCCAGACAGAGAGAGAGAGGTTTCTTTCTTTCTTTGTTTCTTTAGTTTTTTGCCATAGGGCATGTACTTTCACCAAAGAGTGAGAGGGGAAAGTGAGAAATAATCCTCAAGGGTGGGTGGCCACACCTCAATCCCTTCTCCTGCATTCTCCTCCTGGAATTGTGGGCATGCATTCACAGGCGCCCAGTGGGATTTTCAAGCTGCGTGGTCTGGAACTCAAACCATGGTCGACCATGTGGAGTCCAGCACCTTAACTACCATGCCAAATGGTGGTCCCAAGATAGGTTTTTTTATTATTATTATTATTTTTTTGGAGAGGTTTTTGCTATAGGGCACATGTGCTCTCCAGAAAGACAGAAAGAGACAGAGAGACAGAAAGCAAGAAATCACCCCCCCCGGGAAGTGGCCACACCGCAATCCTTTCTCCTCCATTCTCCTCTCAGGATCTTGGGCACACACGCACATGCGCCCGGTGTGAGTTTAAACCACCGGGTCTGGGACTCGAACTGTGGTCGACTACATGGGAGTCCAGCGACATAGCCATTATGCCAACTGCTGGTCCCCAAGATAGGGTCTCACCACATCACAATCTTCTTGCCCCAGCCTCCCAATTACCCAGGATCACAGGGACCAACAATCACTCTGAGCATTTTCAGATTGACCAAGAACTGAACCCAGGCCAAGCTTCCAGCTTCCAGCCTCCCAAGTGGTAGCTGGTGATATGTCACTGTGGCTGGGCCTGGCCCTGAACTTTCACGCAGTAGTCATGCCCGTGTCACAGTACCAAATCAAGAAGCACACATGACCAGCCTTCCAGAGTCCCTTAGTGCAAAATGGTGCCGGGACATTGGGTGGAAGTACCCTAGTGGGGGCACTAAAGTCATCCCCCTGACCCCAACGGCCGCTCTCTTCCTGAGAATGTGCGGTTCATCAGGCCACGCTTCTTCTACCCCTGTGTGCTTTCAGCTGCCAACTGTTGTCCTCTGGCTTTTTATGGGGTCGTGAGAAAAGTGAGGATGCATTTTTGCTTAGAAAAAATAGAAAAATACATCATGACTTTTCCAACGACCTGCTGTCTAGGAGAGGGTAAGGCTGGTATGGCTCTGGGTGGTCCATCTTGTGTGTGAGGCAAGATGTGTCCCCCTCATGCTCAGAGAGATAAGGAGGGGCCTCCAGGGTGCGCCTGGGGCCACCTGGCCTGCCCACAGCACAGGACAGAGACTGCTTCGCTTGTCCTGTCAGTGTTCCATAGGAGATGTTGAAGAGAGAGGCCAGTGGGAGGGGAGTGGGAG